GTTCTGATGTAATGTTTTTGCAGTGCTGCCACATTTTTCATTTGACCTGTTACTAGAGGTTAAGCACAGGTGTTGCTAATAACATGAACAATGTGTCTACTTTGTTCAGTTGTCCCCCTAAGTGATAACAGTGCGACAATAAACCAGCATGCACTACACCGAGACCCTAACAATAAAGCAGTTAAATGAAAATCAGTCGTCGTTAATTTCTTTTCTACAGTTGTGCTTCTGACTTGCAATTTATTCTTGAATTTTTTAAAAATATATTTAAAAAGCTGTTAGCATGCTTCAAGACAATCAAATATTGTTCCTCATTATCTGTGATGTTAGTGATATGTCTGTATGTCTATTCATTGCTTAGTTATGGTATTTACATGTGTATTCACTTTTTTTTTTCCCACAACAGTGTGACCCTTCAGTGTCTCCATATGTTCGATCTCTGTATGTTCTTAACTGATTTACTAGAACTAAAGCAATTTTGCTTTAAACATTTGTTGGACGGCCTGTCCGTGGTGTCCCCTGCCTTCGTCCTAAGTCGGCTGAGATGGGCTCCAGCCCCCTGCGACCCTAGTGAGGATTGAGCGGTGTGTAGATAATGGATGGATGGATATTTGTTGGAGTTATTGAATTATTGAACATGTTTTTTGTTGCGAATATTACTTTTACAGACTTTCAAATGGAGATTCAAACTTGTGACTCAGTTATACTACACCAATAGCTTGGTCTTACATTTCAGACTCAAACTGCAGTGACACGACTTTTAGTTTTCAGATATAGGCGAAGACAAACGGATTGCTCAAGCTTTTCAGTAACTTGTTAACTGCTTAATTAACATATCTGGTGGCTCATATGGTGAAACTTGCCAGTTACTAGTAAGCACGAGCTGTACAAAAGAAGTAGCTGTAGCCTGCAGGTCAGAAAAGTGAAACCTTAAAACTGCATTATTTCTAAATGCCAGCAGTGGGCGACTCCTCTAGTTGTAAAGGGAAGTTTGATTGTATAAAAGTCTACGAGAAAGTAACTTCTCACTTGATGTACTACATTAGTAACATTTTCCTAATGAATGGTCTCAATTGCAACTTTCAACAGCATTTCAATACAGTATGGTGCCTATTTGTAAATGTTTGATCCATTTAAAGTCACATAAACAACAAAGTAGGGTTTCAGAGTGTGGCTACCTTGTGATTGACGAGTCCCTACCACAGTGACCTGTCAATCAGGATATAGGTATAGCAATGTATATCCATGGCACTGTGTATGTTTAAATAGTATTGAACTTGTTTTTGGATGCTGTCTGTATTTCTGTCTTAAGAACTTCAACCATTTCAATGGTTTTTTTTCAGTTTGAAAAAGTTAATGTTAACATTTCGGTTACGCAAAAATGTCCTGTTCTGGGTTTGATTGAACTAAAAGACACACTAAGGATTTGGTTACTCTTCTTTTTTCCCCATTAGCACATTTTGTTTTAAGCCTGTTTTTTGGAAGTCTGACTCACTCAGTGTAGGCTGTAGGTATAAGCCTGTCAATGTCTACACATTATATACAGACTTCTCCTCCCTCCCCTTATGTTGTCTGTGTGTTACCATCATCATAATCACCTTCACTATGGCAAATAACAACAACCTCCAGTCTAGCAACATACCTCAGTGACAATTTCTTGTTGCTGAAGATTTGGATCATGCAATAAAGCAGCCCTGCTTTTTTTTCTTTTTTCTTTTTTTTGTTTTTTCTTTTCTTTTTTAGTGAATTAGCCATTTTAATGGCAGTGGTCACCCCCCTGCATGCAAATGTTCCACCAAAACAAATGCCCTAAATCACTGTTTTGAGGGAACATCATTGCTGCATCCTTGGCTTAACTGTGATGGGCTTAAAAAAAAAAAACACATGCAAACAAGGCAGGGCATATATTTTACCCTTGTAGCCGAAGTAGGTGCAGCCAAATTCTTTGCTACGGGACGGGTTGGCTATAGCAAGCTTTTTGATCTCCAAAATTAACATCTCAATCAATATCACAGTTAAGTTAAATTATGGATGCACCCTGCCAACAGAGCTTGCCAGCACTAGCTTTAGTTGACAACGTAGCTTTTGCTATGCTACCCAGTTTTCCTGGACTAATAACCTGTGTTAACCACTTGGACTAGGCAGTCCACACCTTAGTCCTCCTCAGCTCCATACTCTTGTCTAAGTATGGTCATTTCAGGCTCCAAAAAACAAGATGGTGATAACCAAAACATCATCTAAAGACGTTAAAGGTAGTCCACAAACCATCCATCCATCCATTATCTACGCACTGCTTAATCCTCACTGGGGTTGCGGGGGCTGCGTACACTCACAGTCACACCTACGGACAATTTAGAATCACCAATTAACCTCAACATGTTTTTGGACTGTGCGGGAGGAAGCCGGAGAACCCGGAGAGAACCCACGCTGCACGGGGAGAACAAGAAAATTCCACGCAGAAAGATTCCGATGCCCCCACCGGGACGCGAACCGGCAACCTTCTTGCTGCGAGGCAACAGCCAACTGTGCCACCCTGCAGCCCGTCCACAAACCAATGAGGCTGAAAAATACTGTGAAACTGACTTGCTGTTGTGTCAGGCACAATGCCCTATTATTTTTGTGTATAGTCAAATGTCTGGAGTCTGGAGTCTACTACTTATAAAAGCATTTTGTTGGAGGGCCACAGATACCTGAGTGTTTCCCTTAACAGCTTGTTGTATACTTTTGTAATGCATGTGTTTTTCTGTTTTACGTCAATTGCTTCTACAAATGTGTAATTAAATCCAGTACAAATGGGGGGCCTTGTGTGCTGTAAAGTGTTTACTCGGTCGTTCACACTCATCAAATAGTGACAGGTTGATATCATGTTGGCTATGTCCACTCATTTTATGCAATCTATTCATGTAAGCAATGCAGTTGAGTAGGTCTTACCAGCCAGCAGGTGAAGCACGCCTATCCCCAGAGTGGGGGTGAGGCTTCTGCAGAGACAGGCACAGAACCCAGTCAGGCCTGCCAACACCACCAGGCCCAGTGACACCAGTGGTAGCAGAAACTGGCACCTCCACAGGTCTACAGATACACACAAGAAGCTATGTGTTAATAGGCATATCAGTAAATTGGGCTTTTAATTACCCCTTTATTTCCTATGCATGACAGAAGATGGTGCGCTGATTGGAGTTATTGTACAATGCGATATCACATAAATTATACACTGCACAGATAAGAGACTGATTCGAGTGTAAACTTACTTACAACTCAATGCAATTTATATATTTTTAAAAGGAAAACCTTGTGGCTGAACTTACAAGTGCGAAGCATATCCTCTCCACTGTTGTGGTTCCCTGGTTCTTTGTACTTGGGAGTGAACTGCTGAGGTAGATTAAAACTTCGACACTCCAGCACCAACTTCACATCTGAAAGAGGTCAGTCCAGTCACCAATATTTAAGCACCTCACTGACGATTTACTCAAATATGAATGAATGCCCTTCTATTTCAGACATTTTTGGGTATTGTGTGTGTACTGGTCAGTCCACCTCAATTCACTAAAAAGGTTCACGTCTGATTATCTCATATTTACCTGATTTTTTAATTTATTTTTTGGCCATGTGATTGTCTGGGGTCATAAGTAATATTAGTATTTGCATTGGTAGCAATAATACATGATGCACTGATGTTAGCATTAATGTCAGCTGGGAGAAGACCCTGGAGAGAATCTCCCCTAGGGAGTCTTATGGATCCATACAAGCTTTCTATATATGCATATAATTACCTTTAAATAGAAAAATTCTTTTTTAAGTTTAAAAAAAAATGTTGAAATGCAAGTTAATTTAGAATTGATGGGCTGAGGATTCAAGTTACAGCTTTACTAGAACTTTAGTATCATTTATATTTTAAATTCCTTACATAAAAATAATGTAAAATCACAAGTAACCAGGGATGCTAGGCTGCTACAGCAACACAATTTAACATTTGTAGTTTAACATAAAGTCAGCTTGTCGGCCTTTCAGACAGATAATACATTTTTGCTGCTGGTTAGCCGTTATGTTACTGTATTACATGATGGTATCAATAATTTATCAGGAATCTAGAGGACTGAAAATCATTGATGTCCATATCAAGGGTCTTCTTTCAAAACTCCTACTCTTTCACAAGATACAAAAAAGTTATTGTTATATTTTTTTCAAACTTAGGAATAACCCTTCATATCGCATGCTAATATCATATACTGTTATCTTGCGGAAACAATAAAAAAAAAAGAGTGTGAATTTATTTTCACACAAAAGACAGATTGATTGTCTACTGTCAAAATGTGATAACAATGTACTTCAAAGCCACTTGTTTTGTTTTCTTCAGACCAGTAACATTATTTTTTTTAATGCTATTTAGCAACTACCGTCTAAGAAAAAAATCTCAAACGAAAACTGACCATATCTCGTAGTCAGAAGGGGAGTTATGGGGGGGGGGCTCTCACATCGGTTCACCCTATAGTCTGAAACTTCAGTGACATGAAATAATGCCTCAGCTATCTGTAACAGTGAATGCAGGTGAGGTCAGTTAAATAAGCGTACCTGGCTCCCTGTACCAGGGAGCGTTGGCCGGGACAAGCACACACCGCCACCAGAGGCCCACAGTCCCGTTGAGGCGGAACAGTGTGTCGCTGTAGGTTTTCTCATCAAACTCCCCGTCCATGAACTCCTCGTACAGGGAGCGCAGCTCGGTGATGTTGCCCTCTCCTCGCACCGCGGGGCTGCTGTACTGGTACCAATGCTGTGTTCCGATTGCCACCGACAGATACACGGTGGCCAGTATGCTCAGCACGCAGGCGATGACCAGAGCTGTGGCGTAGCGGTTGTCAACCATTGTTCAACGAGACAGAGACACGTCAAGAGGGATTAAGTTGATGCCAGTGGTCGGATCGTCGTACATAAATTTGGTCAATCTGCGTCGCTCCCTGACAGTCACATTTATCCTAGTCACCCCGTCATGGTTAAGTCTGAAAAAGATACCATCAGTTAACAGCCATTGGTGGGTGTATTTTAATGATTAATACTCATCTTCAGTGCTGAACTAACAATTCCTGCAGCCCGGTTTGGATGCGCCATCTGTTCCCTTGTCCCACTTCCACAGATGGTGGGTGGTGACGGTATCTCACAGCTACAGTCCGCAGAAACAACTCGTCCTCAGTAAATAAAATCAAAGAGGCTGATATTTGAAGATAAGTTGGGGCAGCAGCGACCTGCGAATGCAAATTACATGTGTGTGTTTTGAATAGCAGACTGACTCCGGTTCAGCAGGGCGATCAGAGCTATAAACACACTAATCCCTGCGCTTTCTCTTCCGGGTCTGCTGATCCGCAGAACTAAAAAAAACCTTTCCTCAGCCTCCTTTGTCCTTATTACACTGACATTACAAGGAGACCCAATGCAGTGCCTGCACAAGATGGACTTACATCATATCAGTCTGACAGTATCCTTACAAAGACATATTGAAACTTGTAACCACCAACTTTGGTTAAGTTTCCTGGTTTCCTTTTGCCCTATTCAAAAACAAATAAATAAATAATTTGAAAGACTACCTGGTTCAAATTTGATGAGATGTATTTTCTGTTTATCACTAATCAGTTATGACTAACATATTGTTTCAGTTCCTGGTCAGATAACTCACTTTAAAACACCAAGACAGAATTTTGGCAAATAGTTTACTTAATGTATGATTTTTGCTGATTTTCGTAAAACATGAATTCTCTTATTTTCTGCCATTGTGACCTAAATTGATGAGTTGAATGACTGCAGAGGTCACTCAATTTGCTAAATGAAATTAGGTTTATGAGAAACAAAACTAGCCTACAAACAGACTTCCCCGCATGCATTGTTAGTGAGTTTCTTGAAAACTGAGAAAACAGAAATGGAAACTTGCTGTGCACCTTTAATACCTGTTAGAATAAGTCATGGTTGTTGCTTTTCATAATAATCAAAATCGTGACAATCATGACAAGGGCTATTTTTATAGTTTATCTCATTGTAACCATGTGCAAATTTGGATTGCCTTTGTACAAAATGATTTCAGCAGCTAAGGCCGTATGTTTTGAAAAAAGAAGAGCAAGCATGTAATTCAACTTAATATCTTTAGTTCATTAACTGTGCCAATGCATACATTTTAAACCACCCTTATTGTTAGTCCTCACGCTTGTTAAGTGTGTCAATGCATAAGCATTGAAGTACATTTATTACTATTTCTCAGGCTTATTCTTATAGATTCTTCTAATGTGATTTTAGGCGTATAACTTGTCTGGCAGTTTTGAGAATTGCCATACAAATTGTATGTCAAAACATGCAGCTCAACCAGGAATGGTGTGCTATGACTTTTGGTGGCAGTATTTATTTATTTATTTATTTTCGAGTTTTTACAAAATAATAATTTTTAAAAAGCATAAAAATTCCATGAAAATGAATAATACGTTGGCCTGACTAATGACTACTGTGTTCTCTTTTTGGAACACAGTAGCTCTGGCATATTTTACAATAGAAATGTCATTCAAAGTTTAGGCAGGTCATAAGACTTTGAATCTTATTCCTCTGAAGACATGTTTTGATAAATTTTACAATTTTAACGCTGTCGCAGTTTCAGCTTTAGGAATTTTTAGAAAATTGTGAATTTTTGTTCAAATTTTGACATATTTATTTATTTTTTTCAATATGACAGTTTTTTGAGCTATGACCATTTGTTTAGGGGCTAGTGTCTGTCTCTGACTCTGTTTCCTCTTCACACTGCACCCAGTGCCTTGGACAGAAAGAGTTGCAACAGGAGAGGTCCAAAATGCTTGATGGTCACTCAGCACACAGAGACTTTAGCTACTTCCAGGGAAATATTCTGTAGTATTCAGTAATTTGAATCTGTAAATGTGAAGAGTTACCTGCCTTGTTGATATAATTTGGGTTAAGGTTAACATGGTTAAAGAGCTGCTTTTTATTGCTTGTATGGCAGTCAAGAGTAATCCCATCCTAATGTTTAGTGATATATTCTGTCAGAGCTGATCCCAATCTACCAGAAATCAAACTATGTGTGAGATAGCTCCTGCACATTTGTTTAAAGAAGCAGTAGGAGAAGATATTTAGGTCTCACTCAATGTATTTATTTAGCTGATAGTTGAATAAGCATACAGAGCTCTGGATCAAACTTCTCACCCTAGCACCAACAGAGTTATGTCAGGGCACGAAGTCTGATTGACTGCCTCTCCCTGATCCAGTGTAGTTATACTATTACATGAGGATCTGCACAGAATGTGTTGCAGCTAGCTCATTGGTTCCTCCATGTCCTTGGGCCTTCTTCCACCATTTTGTGAGTGCAGAAACTTGCCACTCAGCACCCAACTGTGGAGCATCTTCAGTTCCTCCCTCCTGCAGATATCTGCTTGTGACAGAGAAATATACACAAACCACCAATTCCTTTTTCTACCTACGTTTTCTCATGCTGCAATTGTTTATAAGTTATGTTGATTATGCCTTAAGATAATAAGAGATTAACATAATAATAAGAGGTTAAGAGAATAATACAAGATTACTAAAACATGAATCAAAAATATATGTAAAAAAATATATGATCCTAACAATTCAAAGGAAGGAGAAGGGAAGAAATGTTCTGAAATTCAGATAACATCAATTTTCTACCCAAACTGTGTTGTGGTTTCAGTAAGACCATAGCAATATAAGACATAACTGTATAATTCTATAAACCCCTATTTTATAACATCATTGATCATCACCATGAACCAATGTAACATACAGCACTGTGTATACGTCTGTGTGTGTATGTATTACATATTCAGTATGATTACTTATATAATGAATACATTATTTAGAATAGAATAGTTCTTTATTGTCACTGTTGAAGCAATGTTAAAAAGACTGTTACAGCAGTGAAATATTGTTGTAGCATCCTTTTGTGGCAGCAATACACAAATAAAAAAAAAAAGGTAAAATAACGTGAAAGGAAAGATATATATATATAAAGTAGAAAATGTAAAATATTAAAGCAAAGGAAGCATTTACAGTACACACAACAGTATTTGATATACCTTTAGTGGTACCAGGCATTAAAATGAACAAGAAATTGAAGAAAACAATGACTGTATATGGCTTCCTTCACTCCTCCCTAAAACCATCTGTCCTCTGTGTCAAAAATGTGCACATTGATGTCCTCAAAGGGGTGCCCCTTATCCTTCAGTTCACCTACACAGTTCACTTACACAGGAAAACCATGTCAGGGGTTAACGTTACGTGTTGCTAACTTAACCCAGCATCAGAGCCTAATCTTTTACCTGTTCCTTCAACCCACAAATTTAGTGAGGGATAGTCCACTGCCAAGCTTTAATACACGTTAACTGGACTCATATGTGCTGAGAGCAAAAAATCATGTTCTTGAAACGTCTTACCTTGTAAAAATGCATCATAAACAACTCCATTGCGCTTATAGCACTATATAGCTGTCAACTTCTGGGAACTATTGACACGATTCATGGTCGGCCATTGCTGTGAAAAAAAAAGGTTTAAAAAAGAAGGACTCCAAACATGGTTACATCCATGGGCTATGTTACTGTGTGATCTATCAGCAGGACATTTGTAACAACAGCTCTAAGGCAAATCAACACAGCTGTTAGAAATGATATTAGCATGCCTTGATACATATTCTAACATGTCCCAGACCAATATTTATAAACCACAGAGTGTTCAGTGGCTCTTCATTTGTATTGGGTTAAAATTCTAGCTATGAGTCTCTCTCAGGTAATTGTGGGCTTCAGAAATTCTAGTTAAGTGTGCCCATGCATGATCTTTGAAGCACACGTATTTCTATTCCTCAGGCTAATCATAGCAACATATATCAACTGGCAGAAGCTGCTTAAAATTACTTAAAATTTCTTCCAAAATTTTCTAGTTAAGTATGCCAATGAATGAGCTTTGAAGCATGCTTGTTATTACTCTTCAGTCTTATTCTTATACATTCTTCAATGCGATTTTTGCACCTACCTCGTC